CTGCGCATTAATTTATTCTATCGCAGCAACATAGTTATTAATTTTATTATTAACTTATTAGTTCCACATGAAGACAGTACCATCGTACATGGATGAAAATTTATTTTAGTTCCTGTTATTGTTCCTGGTACTACGGTATGTTGTGCAAATTTCGGTAGGAACCTCTCAGAGTAAAAAAATCATTATAGTGAAAAGTTTTATTAATGTCATCACAAAATTTTCGTGTCATCACAAAAATTTTTCAAACATCAAGAAGATCTCATTGTTCTGAGGATCAGGAAATGATGACCAATATTATTCTGCTGAATTCTGGTGTTAAATGATTTTATTATTTAAAATTAATAACTTATTAAACTTTCATAGAAAACTAGCCCAAAGTGAACCTAAAGATTTCCGGAATCTTTTCGATCCAATGTTGATGTACAAAAGAAATGGGGTTGTAGACTAGACTTGAAAGGATCTCGATCCTGCGTATGTTCTGCGGACTGGAACAATTTAAGCCAGCCGGACTGTCATTAACTGACACTGTCATTTCATTAAGAGTGAATTATGAACATGAACCTGCTAAGGAAGTTAGATTTAGCCGTCATTAGCCGTCAGGTTTAGCCGTCATCAACTGGGCCTATTATACTTTCAAAAAAAGTTAAGAGATCGTAAGTTCATCAGCCAATCATTGACGGCCTATCAAGCCAAATCCACCAATCATAGATAAGGAAATAGAGCGTAAGTACTTACGTTCACTTAGCGAGTTTTGAAAGTATGGCCCCTCGTACAAGAGGTAGTGGATACCTGGGCCGTTAGAGATGCGTGCGCTCTGGCGCCTTAAGACCTGCCAAGCAGGCCTTAAGAGCGCTCTCACCCAAATATTATAGGGCGATAACATCTGCCAAGTATCGCATGCATAAGGGACGATGTTCTTATCCCTGTCTTGCCAGCTCCTTAAACAAGCAACTTCATGACGTCCGGCTAGTACTGATAAAGAGCTTTACGGCGGAGAACAAAAATGTTAAGTGAATTTTTTATGTTCAATCTGTATGATAAGAGGCATAACTGCTCATCGTAGATATCTTGATGGTAGAAGGAAGCTTTTAGCAAATACTGATGAAAAAGTTTACTGCGTTTTAAAAATATTTTCCATGTGATGGATGATCAAACAAATGCGCTAATAACAAAAATTTTGTTATTATTCTTTCAGAAGACGCAGAGACTGAGCTTTACGTACAGTTGCCATGGGCATAGATTTTTGCTAAGAAGTACAAAAATGTTTGTAAAAATGTTGGTAAGTAATTCCAATTACTTCCTTTGACTGATGTCGGTGAAAATATAAATGAAAAATTTACCGTAATTCTAAACATTGCGCTTTGAGTTATACTTCAAATCATTGCTAAACCGCGCCATAATCGTTATCTTTAATATAACATGAAAGTCAGTTCATTTTTAGATATTCTGTGTTTAGGAAGACCTGATGTCATACATAATCATTATTCTTATTGTCCCGATACTTAAAGAACTCCTGAATCTTTATACAATTGAGCTTCAAAATAAATATTTGATTGAAGTTTTGCTGCACACTTAAAATTCGGACGCGACGTCGGTTTGTTTAATTCTATTTGCTCAAGATGTACTTTAGGGCATTTTAGCCACTTACAATCACCTTGTAATATTGAAAGAAAATATATCTTTCCACATCTTTTCGATGAGAGACGGACGAATTAAAACTTGCAATTTTATTTTTCCTTCTGATTCCAAGTAAAAGTAAAATTATCAAAATATTTTTGGCATGTTAATAAAGTGCATTGAAAATACCTATTTTGGCATTTATGTCAGTAAATTTTTCACTAAGAAGGTCCAATGATTTTATCATGACTAAAACCTCCGCTTTTCTTGTCTTGACTCGTGAAACTGCCAAAAATATCTGGAAGTTATTTTTGTATAATATCTGGACTGGGCCTGACTCAGCCAACCAACCAAGGAATAATAGTTCTGAATCATCGTACATTAAACCTAAAAATGCAATTCAGTAAAATTGCTCAACGAACTTTCCGCTAACAATTTTAATCACCTGAAAGTTGACTCTGCTCGGGGCAGACGATATATAAGGGAACAACCTAGCTGACCCCTCCCTCCCTCTCGCGATAGTTAACATTGTTCAGCACTAACAAACTTTGGGTCGCAATACACTGTTTTTGTCATGCCTGCGGGAGACACAAATTGAACTTGTGCACTGAAAAGCTTTTTACCGTCTAGGTTATCTGTCTTTCAGGAGTGGAAGGCCGCAACACGAGTTAAGATCCGTCACGTGAAAAAGCTTGCCGCTTCAACTCTCGAATCCTATAAGTTCAAACTCATGAGGTTACGACCGCGGGCGCTGTAAGTTTAGGTCCTGCTAATGAGAATTTTATTGCTCAACTTCAAAGTGCGTGACATGAGACGGAAACTTTCCGGTCTACATTCAATGATCATTGAAGGAAAGAAGACCTTTACTAGGATTAGTCATGATTGTTCGTTTTGATTACATGCGCAATACTTTTCATATTTCATTTCATAAGAAGTACACAAAGCGCTGTTTAATAATTCAATTTCATATATGAGCCAGCCTAATATCTTACAATGTCGAGGGGCCAAAGCTTAGACCAGCGACCTCTTCATTGTTCACTTGCTTCTGCAACGCGGCCTTTCAGAGGGTGCAAATTGCCTCAGAAACAACAGATACTGCTTTTGTGGGCGACTGAGCTTGCTGAAAATCCGGTGCTCGGACCATGTTCCTGCTGCGAACACGACGCTCTTTATTTATTTTTTCAGAGCCACTTCGAATTTTTCTTTAGCTTCAGGGTATTAGAACTCAGGCGAAACTCCACGGCCTTTCTCTTGTGCAGAGCAGTATGCTTTGTTTCACTTCTATGATTTTGTGAAATGAATTCTGGAATGAAACAATTCTGTGTATTATTAGAGAATATTTTTTGAATAACGCGTCAAAACATTAATTAGATTCGGAATATATTGAAAGAAAATACATAAGTTATCTGCACCTAACACAAAATTTTGAAGTAGTTTGGGAAAATTTAAGGTCCAAATAGTGACTTTATTTTTATATTGTGATCATGTTTCAGAAGCCTCTGTATTCATTATCTTTTGAAAATTCAGTAGTAAGATAACATATATCGCTTTAATATGATATCGCCATTAATAAGCAATACATTTGGTAAATTATTGAGAATTTCAACAACACAAATTTTTAAGCTAAAAATCACTTCTTTCTCTCTGTACCATTCTTTAAGGAATCCCATCAAACAAGAGAAATTATGGGTAGATTTCTTCTCATGATTTTATTTAGAGGATATATAATGACATAAAACTGAATAATAAAATTTTAAATTGAATAAATACACATATTGCATTATTTTTTTCCGATAGTCGATGCCATCTTGTCGATTCCAACTTGATTTGCTGAAATCGTTTGTGGTCTGGAGTAGGCCGTTGTACAAGCCGTGCATGTTTGCCCTGCATTAGCCTACTGGCAATACTCAAATACTGGCACAGACATGAACCAATATCTGGATGAAATACCAGCTTTTGAATAATAATGGTCTCATCGACAACCACATTACGCCAGTAATGTTTCCGTTTTAATTGTTACGAAATACCAGCTTTTGAAATGAATAATAATCGTCTCAGCGACAACCACATTACGCCAGTAATGTTTCCGTTTTAATTGTTACGAAATACCAGCTTTTGAAATGAATAATAATCGTCTTATCGACAACCACATTACGCCAGCAATGTTTCCGTTTTAATTATTCGTATCACGTTAGGGTGTTCACTACTCGTAATTGATTAATAATATCAGCGGCAATTTTATGTTGTCGAGGTAAAAGCTTTGAAATTTATTACTTTCAGTGCGTGTCACGACTCGCTTTACAGTTGGTCTAGATTATCATGTTCTCATCATTTTATAGACTATGCTAAATCAACTGTCACTTCGCTGAGGTTTATATTTCAGGGAAAATGTTGTACGTTGTCTGATATCATAATATGAAGTTATATTTATTATTTGTGAGTTCCTAGGTACTAAGCCTCTTAATTTGTGTGATTTGGTATTGATTTATATACCTATTTTGACTGTCTTCTGCGTTTAACATGCAGTACAGCTGAGATTTTAATTTCAAAGCTACAGAAGGCGCAGTTATTTCCATCACTTACATCTTGGGGTTTCACTCGCGGTAGTTGGCCGTTAGATGCCGTGATTCAAGCGTGTCGAGAAATTAACCATAGAACGATTCAAGTGCGATCGAACGTTATTGCCAGTTCATTTATGTAACTGAATGGTCGAGTAGAAAATGAAGTTCTGGCTTCTATATGCTAGAAAAAAAATGTCCAGCACATATGTCATTCTAAAATTTCTTACTACGATCTAATGGCATAAAATTTGTTCGAATGCTTTTACTTATATTTATTTTTACTTTACTGGTACAAATATACAATTTACAATTTAAACCGCATTGATTTTTCCACCAGGGACAAAAGATGCTCAAGATGATAATCAAAACTCTTTGTTATTAGTTTAATTTGTGCTGAGAACTTGTTGGCTGCCGCGGCAAATTTCGCTGCACGCAGGACAGCTGACGGCAGTCTAGTGAAATTATCATCCCAAGTTTTTGTCTGGCGTAAATCCCTTGAATCTAGAACTCTCTTCTAAAAACCCTTCAACTTCTGTCGGCACGAATCCCAAAACTGGAAGTTCTTAGAGGCCACGTTGTGTGAATACAAATTTAAAAGGATCAAGACAAAACAGCTGACCTACCTGCTTTTTGGAGACCCTGCGCCGGATGCAAAATAAAGCAACTTTCAAGGTCCCTTGAAAAAATTTCTCATGTGGAGAACTGGCACGGTGTTTCAGAAATTTCATGCATGAAATCTTGAAATTTCATGCACCTTATTCGAAAATACTATGTGCATGTTGCCAATGAATGTGTAGTTTAGTCATTAAAATACAAGTACTGGTAAATTTGCCATTTCTATTCGAGTATCGATTTGAAAGCTCTGCTCAGTACTCAGATTTTCGGTGACATGCATCAAAACACGACCTCCAACTACATAGGAGCAGGAATTTCTTGCATTGAGGAAACTTCTCGTCGTGTGAGGCGCCAAGCTTCGCATCCAGGCAACTCAGAACTTGTTGCAGACCACAGACCAATTCCGTTCAATAACTCAGGGTATACAGAAAGAAACCGGTGCGACAATCATGCTCGGGATCGAGAAGGAGGCAGGGACAATGGAACCCCTTTCGATTCATCAATTCAAGTTTGGATGCGACAAGTGATGACAATCATTTCTCTTCTGCTGATCTGCATCACAGACGTCACAGCCAAAGCTTACGAGTGAGTTATCTTTTGCAAGTTATCGTTTTTATTTCTTATTTCGCTGCTCAATGTTTACTTAGTAAATTGAAAAAAAAATTTAAAAATGAAATCGACACATGGGACTGATAAAAATGCTGCCTCTTTAATAAAATCTCAGTTCCAGTGCAAAGAAAGATTTCTATGAAATCGAAATTAACTTTTTTCTATGTTACTAACATATTTGAACAGGTTTTTTCCTCGAGTGTACGGCTCAAGTAAATACATTAGAGGTTTTTGTCCAGATGTCGTGAAACTCAATTAGGTAATGGAGAACATGGGTTTTGGTCGAATTTCCAGGTTGAAACTAATAGAAGATTTTCATAATAGGCTCCTCCACTCAAGCTACCCATAATATTAGTGAGTTTTGTGGGACACCAAACTCGAATACGGGCATCGGGGAGCTTCTTCAGCTCGATGCGGTGTTTAAAGATAAGATGATCGTAAAATTTTGTGTGCCATTTGGAAAATAAGAGCTCAGAGTACGCTTTTATGGATCGTAGTTAAATTATTTTATAATAGGAGGCACAGGTTCCATGGAATAAGGCTCCATATTTGTACCGATAACTTCAATGTTGGCTCTAGAGAAGAAATACAGGAAATTTATTGCCTCAATAGAGTAGCAATCATGATTAAATTCATTTTTCTTTGAGGACGAACGTTGTGTTCTTCCTAGATTGGTTTGAGTATTAAAATCACTTGATTGCTTAAATCGCAAGTTTATCGAGAATTTAAAAGCAAAGAAAAAAGCCAAACAATTCACCATTTCTTAAGTTCTTAAGAATGAATACGTTTCGGACTTAAGCCCCATCGTCAGTTCAGAACCTATAAGGCAAGCAGTATCAATTAGAAAACTAAAATTTACATGGAAGATAAAAACCTAAATCGACAAAAGAAAAAAAAAGAAAAAACATACACATAAGGTGACATGCCGATCTATTTACAATTTCAAAGGGATAGGAGCTGAAGGCTGCATTTGAGCTAGGTTTTTGTTTAAAAATATACAGGGATTCTAAAATCCGTAGGTCAGTAACACCGGTCGTGTAAGCTAGAACTCTAAAATCACTATCGGACACCGGAACATTGCACTGCTCGGCATGGACGCGCACAGCTAAATGAGGAGGATGCGCAGGTAGTGTTTCGTTCTAAAATTTCTGCCCTTATGCTCCGCCAATCTAGTGTAAAAATTGCGGTATGTCATATATATACCGACGTACGCTGATGCGCATTACGCACAGCTGTATCTATATACTAGGGACGAACGCATATAAAGCGGGATAGTATCTTTATACTTGAAGAATGAGCAGATTCTAAAGTTATTCGCCAAGACTACTTGCAGATTAACATTCGGAAGATATGTATTGAACAGAACTTTCAATTCCTTACTCAAAGTCTCGGATGCATTGCCGAAGTAGGGAAAAGAACAATAAATCAGGTTCCTACTGTCGCAATCGGGAACAATTTCATTATATTGCCTAGACATGAATTTCTTAATTTGAGTATAAACAAATTGCTACGGAAACACATTTAATGAAAAGATGCTGCGCAAAAATTCAAATTTAATGTGCATAGCATTGAAAGTTGAACAAATACGGAAGCCACGATTCATGAATGTTTTAATCCCATTAATTTTTTAAGTGTATTGAGTAAAAACTAAAAAAGCTGGTGCTTAAAACGGTAAAAGTTGACTTTTGGAATGAAGAGGTTTGGAAACAGCCATTAGATTTTGTTTCATTGCAATCGAGGAAAGATAAACTAAATGCAGCCTGCAGCTCCTATCCCCTTGAATTGCAAATAGATAGGCCTGTCGCCTAATGTTTATTTTTTCTTTTGTCAATTTAGGTTTTTATTTGCAATGTGAATTCCAGTTTTCTAATTGATTCTGCTTGTCTTATAGGTTTTGAACTGACGATGGAGCTGGATTCCGAAATGTTTTCATTCATAAGAAATTGTGAATTTTTTAGCCGTTTTATTTGCTTTTATATTCTAGATAGGTACGGTGTTCTTAGATAGGTACCTATGTTGTTCCAAGATAGGTATGTTGTTCCTAGATGGGCATGTTGTCCCAGGATATGTATGGTGTTCCAAGATCGGCATGTTGGTCCTAGATGTTCCTCTGGAAGGAATTAATTTCAAGATATCGATGCCAGCAGCACAACATCTTAAGCCAGATTTGTGTGTCCATGGAAAGCCTCTTCAGCGACTCCCATCAGTTGTTATTGAGACATTCACCTCTACACCAAATCTCTCGAAAAATGTGATCGAGTTATATAATTCTCATGATAACTACTCATTATTTTCTGTCGTATGTGTCATTTGTTGCAAGATGTTTTATTCACATACTCTTAACTCATTTATTGGCTGAAATTAATTTTATTAGAATTATATTAATGTTGTGTTATTATTAGTAAAAAGCGCTTGGGACTAATTGGATTATTGTTCACTTCTCGAAAAGAGTAGCAAGCGTCATTAGAGTGGCAAAAATCATCTTATCTATGTTTTTTTCCGGGCGAGTGAAAGTATTGAGATGAATTTACTGTCCATCCATCATTCGCCAACAAATAATCAGATGTCTCTGTTCCGCTGAATTTTTTTTACAGCCGGGACTCAAGCGACGCAGCCCTCGAGTTCCAGGACATCCTACCCTCGGACCCTCGAAGCTACGACAAGATGACACCACCTCGAGAGGAGGGCCAGCCTACGATCGTCTACTTCCACGTCACGGTCATGAGTCTCGACTCGATCGACGAGAGTTCGATGGTACGTAAGCCGTCGAGCGCGTAATTAATGACGGCGAAATATTACGACGCTGTAAAAGCTTTTACGGCTTCTCAAATGATTGCGCTTGTCACTAACACTGTTGAAGGTTTCCTGATGTTGGAATTTCGTTTGTTGCCTCCATCGATGGTTTTACTTGCCTATCTTGGTCGTCTTCCTGGATCAACAGTAACGTGACTAAATTGAAATTTGGAAGCCGATTATTTCTGCATAAGACTCCTTTCATATGTTATTTTATAAGCTATTGGCTGATCAACAAAGATTTGTATGAAGAGGAAATTACTTATCGAGTTTACTGTACGTATATTAAACCAAGATGGCGACGACAGCTCGGTGTGCCTGTCTCCCTGAGCAAAGAATGTTATTAGGGCTTAGCGCAAGTTCTTACCCAGAGTAGAATTTAACACGACCATGGGAGCCTTAAAATTGAATTCCAAAGAAGCTAGAAATTGGGCCCATGTTTCAGATGCTGACTGATTACTTCTGCAGAACGTCCAATTGAGTCGTAAGCCGCAGTCTCGCATCGACAATTACTTTGTTCACGGCGGCAATATTCCGCGCGCGGCTGGATGAGCTTCCGAACATGCCTGTTAAAAAAACATGCTTTTCCTTTAAGAAAAAAAACAGCAAAATTTTGACGCACTGAAAAATTTCATTGTATGTTTTGAATTAGTTTTTGAAATCACAGTATATTCTTTATATATATTCCGAGCGGCGGCTGGATGAGTTTCCGAACATGCCTGTTAAAAAGACATGTTTTTCCTTGAAGAAAAATAACAGCAAAATTTTGATGCACTGAAAAATTTCATCGTAAATTTTGAATTAGTTTTTGAAATCACAGTATATTCTTTATATTTAGTTCAAATTTTATCAGTTCCCTTAACGATGTCATTACATGCACTAGTTAAACGATTGGATTACACGAGTTCACACCAAATTTTCAAAAGGTAATTTAAAATGTTCTCGTAATTGGATTTAATTACATGAAAAACGCCGTGATCTAGGTGAATAATTCGATCCTATGCTAAGCCTTTGCTGGAAGAAGAGTTACTTAAGGGCAAGCCCTTATAGTCTAACTAGGTTACATTACGACAATAGGAGACGAATAAGAACATGGGGACAATAGGTGATGAATAGGACAATTTGTGACTAGTCGGGTAACTAAAAATATTTTTACGATTTAATATAGACTATATCGACGGATTGAAAATTTGATCAAGGGGAATGTAACTCAAAACACGTTACCAAGTCCCTCCAAGTGATGGCAGTGAGTTTTCACATATTTGTATTCAAACAAATTAAGATTTTTAAGAAGCGAAAACGCATGCGAGAAGAATGCATTCAATCTGATATATACATGACAAAATTTGTGTGTTTGTTGCCTGTGCAGATTGGGAGAGTTTCCACGATATTTATATTTGTGTGGTATTACTTGGGTAAGAAATTTTGCTCGTAGAGGGAAAATATTAGGAGACGTCAAAACAGGACGAAAAAATAAGAATTTGATAATTGAATTAGCATGCATATAATTTTAATTGAAAATAAACATAAGATGTTTCTTCCATTTGTAGCTAAGGTCAAACGGGGGTTCTATGTTTGAGTAAGTCTTTTTCTAATTATTATACCTTAGTTGTATTCCAATTACCGGGATTTCGCGTAACAGGGATCCAAATATGCGTGGATTGACAATCCTGCAAAACGACTGACTAATTTGCTGGTATTTATAATGTAATATATGAGGTTTCATTGAAGACCAAAATTTTTTTATAATTTTAAGAAGCGAAAACGCTTCTTAAAACGCTGGTATTTAAAACGCTGACTTATTTGCTGGTTTTTATAATGTACTATATAAGGTTTCATTGAAGACCAGATAATTTTTTTTATAATTTTCTTATTAGCTTTTTATATACTGGTAATTATATACACTTTTAATTCGCACATTGCGAGCGTTAAAGGAAGTGCGTATAGCCAAGCCTGCTGAACGAATTTTTAATCCAGATGCCCGCATTAGCTCATTTCTTAATCAAATTCAATGCAACCTGCTTCTAGTATGGCAGTCATCATACAGAATAATTTGTGCTTATATCATACTTAATGTAGAGTGAAATAATGAGGGATGAGAGGAGTTAATTTACTTGAAAACTTTTAACGAAACTAAACGTAAGCCGTTCAGCACTGCTATCCAAAATTTTATGCTCTGAGATGTGAGGAAAAATTACGCTCGTAGTTGAACCTTTACCTTGGAAGAACCTACTGAGCCTGAAAAGTTTTCAGTTTGTAGATTCGCAATGGACGATTTATTGGTACATTACAGACCTACGCAGCAGACATTTTCTTCGCCCAGAGCTGGAAGGATGCTCGGTTGCGTCTCCCCGATAACATGACGCAGCCATACAGACTCCTACCCGTGCAATGGCTCAAGGTATGGTAGATAACAGTGTTATTGAAATAAATTAAGTTAATAGGTAGTGAGTATTGTATATACATTACGTTAGAGAGCAAGCAGGAACTGTCCCTAGTTTTAGCAATAAAAAGTTACGCCCAATTGAATCAATCACCAGATAACCTAATTTTAAGGAAAGCATGTATGTGCATATATACGAGGGCTTAGAAGCAGAAACGAATAAATTAAGGTGTGTAAATGGCATAAAACATTTACAAAGTTGCGTGCACTCAATCTTTTTCTTAGCAAATGAAAAGTACAAAATTAAAAAAAAAACATTTTATATCCCAACTTAGTTAATCCCTCAGAATTTTGCGCATTAAAAGTTGTTAATGTTGTTTTAAATAATGTGCAAGGGAGGACGAAAAGTTTTTTATTTCTAATAAAACAAAAATATGTTGTGGAGCAAAACACGTGACAATACAGAGCACAAAACAAGTCCCAGAAGAGGCTTCATTTCCGGCTTGACTTCCCCCAGCGGCACCCGTCGTCTACACGACACTATATCGAGCGCCAAATGTTGGCACCGCTCTGTTCTGTCAATAATTTTTTTCGATTTTTTTTAACGAATAAGTCATTGACGACAGTCAATAGGGACAGATCCTATTGTATTGCTCAGATTGATCGTGGAATTGTCAATAATTTTTTTCGATTTTTTTTAACGAATAAGTCATTGACGACAGTCAATAGGGACAGATCATATTATATTGCTCAGATTGATCGTGGAATTGATTTGCGTCTGCACTTTTTCCATTCCCTCCATTGGAGCAATGCAACTTTATTATATCCTTGTTTCTTGCAAATTAGTTATCCCACGTAACATAGGATTTAAGATCGTTGGGAAAAGCGACATTTAATAATTTCAGGCTCAGAATTGTTTTACTTTCGTAGCGATTGTTTGGTAGCTCTTATCTAAGGAAATCCACTGATCTACATATGCAGTGCCACTCGGCGTTCAAACGGTAATTACCAACTGATATTTTGCTTGATCTACTCAAACGGACGTTTTCTCTAATGGTTCAATCAAGGAAAAGTTTCCTCTGTAAATAAACACCGTCTTTCGTTTGTTGTTGCAGGGAATATGGCGCCCTGACGCATTCTTCAAGAATGCCAAGGCTGTCACATTCCAGGAGATGACGATCCCAAACCACTACCTGTGGCTCTACCAGGACAAAACCATCCTGTATATGGTCAAGTGAGTTGTCTTTGTGAATATTTACGTGCTCTAACCATTATGTGTTTTAACCATTTATCCATAATTCAATATGGATGATTCGGGATAAATTGAAGGTCCAGCGTGTGTTTTTATGATTCACCGAAAAATGAAAGAGTATGGTAACTAGTTATGCGAATTTATAATATATGAATAAAAATCCTTTGAGATTAATCATTTAATGCTGTAATCATTAAAGTTGGTAAAATAAACGAGGAACAAAACCATTTCACTTATTCATTACACCACACATGAAAAATTGATAACAAATTGTGCAGTTATTGGCAATAGTTGTATTTAACAAAATGTTGCCGAATCTCAATGGAAAATATCAAGCGCTTCACTTGCGCGTTGAAATGTTTAACAGCACAGACTCTTGCCCGAAATTCCCACTTAGTAGTTATATCTACAAATTTTGTTCTAACCTCCATCATGAACGGCCGTGACTTGAGTGAACATGATGTCACTTGCATAAAATCACAACTAACAATTTGTTCATCGCCGATTTATTTGCACACATGCCGTTTACATATAAATAAAGTAAGTAAAGTTTGCATTCAGCTCGGTGGTTGGCGAAGCAATAAGCTCGAAAATGTCCAGCAGATCGTGTTAAGGAATTGCTAGAAGTAAAGTAATTGATTTGATTGATCTCGGTTTACTGAAATTCGGTGTAGCATCCCAAGTGCGCTACTCGGCTGATTTGGGCGTTCTTGTATGAAATACAGTTTATTAACATAGATTGTTACGCTGGATTAAGAAATAAATTATTTATTTAATAATGTCATTTGAGATAATTTCGGAAGGTAATAAAAATGTCATAGACAGTTAAAAGTTAAAGAGATTTACAACCATACAAGTAAACGAACGTCGTCGGCCCTTCGATTACGGTAAATATTTAGAAGTGTAAGTTGAAATATTTCCCGCTTGTTAGTATAGCTGACGACTTTTATTCGCGTCATCGAAGAGCTAGTTAAAATTTTGACTAACATTGTATAGACGACATTCTAAAGTCAACATCATGTATTGAAAGATCAATTAAGGTCGCTTAAAAATCTTGTGAAAAATATTCCCCGACTAGGTTGAGTGAATAATTTTGCAAAAATTGAGATATTATTTGATAAACTTAAAAAATTTTATTTATGACATAGGAAAAACAAGTGTTGTTATCTATATTTTATCATTAAATTATTTGTATAGAAAACATACCCAAAAACAACGTAATTAGTTCAGGCGTCAATGCGAAATCGCGAGAAAATATTCTGTAATAAAAACATTGCATTTTAATTAGCAACTAGAGTTCAGCTGTGCCAAAAGATTCCTACTGAAAAACTACGATGATCAGGACTTAAAAAAATTCCTCGTATACCCTAAAAATAAATAAAGTGATGAGTAACAAAACAATCCTATCAAAAAATAATTATTTTATTTCGCACGATATTGCTCCCTTCATCTCGCAGCTTGCACTCAAGCATATTTTTGACACTTGTATTAATTGCGGCACGGGTAACGGCCAAGCTACAGGGTAATTAATGTCTGGTATCAGCACCAACTCTTTTTTTTTCATTTTTATTTTTCATTCTTTGCTTTATCTGAAAAACAATACAGGCTCACAATGCAGCCAAAACAAGCAGGTGAGCTTTTGTGCAAATTTTAAAAACAAAGAAATTTATTATAACTGCCGGTACTTAAAATTTACGAGGGCCTCTGAACAAGCTCTATTTGGACATGCAGTTAGCGTTGAATTGAAAAGACAGAAAATTTGATATTTGTTTTGAGCACAATTATCTGAGCTTTTATGGATTCTGGCGTGTAAACAGAACAGAGTTAATTGGCCCTTGATTGGCAGGCGCTTCTGAATATTAAAATAAATTACCATTTTTTTCTGGTCAATTGCGCTTTCACAATTGCCACGAAAACATTTTATACATTAATTGTACACGATTCATGCATTTCCATGGCCAGCTCTTCAGAATTTGATTAATTCACGGAATTTTTCATGGCTTCTGACAGAATATGAGAAAATTTGCTCTTTCCCTTGTGATTTTGAAATTTGGCTTGCTTCTTGATAGAATGATCTTAACCAGATGTAATTCCCACAACATCAACTCAGTTCTCGTGTTTCTGAACGTTAAAACTTTGAGATCATCATTATAGAAAAACATATATTTTGCATTAGATGATTTTCTTCACCTATACCTACACAATTTTTTTCCCTATTTCTCAGCTTTTTATGTTATTTATCTGCTTTCTTGCAAGCAACATTCCAAGTCCCCAAGTGTTAACCTGCGTCCTCAAACTATGCTTGTTATGGTCATTAGGGCTCAAGTAATGATGCGCCATCCTGGGCCTAATTAAACTGCAGTCCTAATTGACGGCGGCAAGACAGTAACTGTAATCAGTGTGTCATGGTATGCGGGTGTTTGCTAACCCAACTCCGGCAGCTTGCAAATTCCAGAGGGACTCCCAATTTGTGTCCGTCTTCAGAATTCATTAGTGGCACTGTCTGTGCTGTCTCGGAGTGTATGAAGCATAAGAATTTCTTGGAAAAATTCTTGAATAGCTCAATTTCCCTATTGAAGGACAAGAATATATAAATACATGTCTAAATATGATGTGGAATACGATGGTACTTCTCATTGATCAGAATAAATGTAGGTATAATTTTTATGTTTTTATTTTGAATATTATGAATCAATTTCAAAATTCGGATATCACTATTGATATATTTTATATTGTTGATATATTTATGCTGATATATTTTATATTGATATAAATGATACGATGTTGATATATTTTATATTCGCGATATGCATTATCTTTATGTAGGCGATTAATTAGTGGGAAATATAAAAGTGCAAATTATACTAAATGAATTTTCCTTTTTACTTGAACAGGCTAACGTTGGTGCTGTCATGTGCCATGAACTTCGAAGTGTATCCACACGACACCCAGGAGTGCACCATGAAAATAGAGAGCAGTGAGTTGTTCTGTGTACAGGAGTGCACCATGAAAATAGAGAGCAGTGAGTTGTTCTGTGTACAGCAGTGCACCATGAAAATAGAGAGCAGTGAGTGGCACAGAACATCACAGTGTTGTCGTTGCTGTCCCGTGTGACTTCCAAACGACTACATCATTAAATTAGTTTGGTGGCTGATGCAGTCAATATTAAGGAAAATAGTTTTACTTATTTAAATAATACTTATAGATTTATTTCTTTTTTCCCCATATCCTCGTGCTTAACTCGATTCAGCGTTGAAATTTCAATTAAAACTTTACGTAGCTAGTATATTAAATCACTGAAGGCACTTAAATTTATTTTTAACTAAAAATTGATTATCAGTTCTAACTTTTCCTTATTGTTGGACCCGACATCAGATCAATATTGTAACACTTTCAGTCATCCAATACTACTAACTTTTCGATATAATACATTTAAATTGACATCTGATATTTCAATTAACTTCAATCCAAAATATTTTTTAGTTTTATTCAATTTGATTTACCTCTAATCTTTTTTCGCCACAGTTTCCCACACGACCGACGACTTAGTGTTTGTGTGGGAGCCGACAGTCCCTCTGGAGGTGGACAAAAGCATCGAGCTCCCCCAGCTGGACCTGGTCCGCAACGTGACCGGCGACTGTACACAAGTCTACTCTACCGGTACTGCCTCCTTGATTTTCAAGTGTTTTCAATTTCGGGTTCCTCTTTTATTCGTGTTTTCAATATCATTTTTCTCTTCATTTAAATTCTATGCACTCAAGTCTACTCTACCGGTACACACTCATTGATTTTCATGTGTTTTCAATTTCGTTGTACCCTTTTATTCGTGTTTTCAATCTCATTTTTCTCTTCATTGAAATTCTATTTTGTTGCTATGTAAATATGTCACATCAAAGTAATTAAAAACTGCATGGAATATACCTCCATAAGTTGTTGACTTATGGGTGATTCGTTCAGCATTGGTTTCATGCTATCATTTTCATTTCCACGTTCCTAAATAGTTAAAAGTGAAGAAAAAACTTAAGATTAATAAAATAAGTTAATAAATAATGAAATAGGAAGAAAATTTTATGCTAGGACATAAATCTACTCTATTCCAGGTAATACAAAAATTTATTTTCATTATGCATATCATTAATCAACATAAATCTACTGATATTCCAGGCAATTTCACATGCCTGGAGATCATATTCACGTTCCGGCGGCGGCTAGGCTACTACTTGTTCCACACGTACATCCCCACATGTCTCATCGTCATCATGTCCTGGATCTCCTTCTGGATCCGTCCTGAGGCCGTGCCAGCGCGCGTCACCCTCGGCGTCACGTCGCTGCTCACCCTCGCCACCCAGCACGCTAACTCACAGAAATCCTTGCCCCCGGTGTCCTACATTAAGGTACGTGGATTAGATGATTAGATATTATATATTATATCATTATATTATATATTATATAACACCATAAGATGATTAGATATCATATATTATATTATTATATTATATATTATATATAATTATAAGATGATTAGATACTATACGCGCGGTTGCAAGTGATGTCCTTTATTAATCCCGAGCTCAAAGTGCGTTTAATTTATGATCAGCGTGATTTTCAAAGGATTATATTGAATATCACAACGTTTTTCTGGTGACTGGATAAAAATTCTTAATACGCGAATGGTTTTTTTCTTTCTTGATGAATCTAAAAAAACCTAAAAGTTCCTTGAGTCCAAAAAGAAGTCTGCACTGGAGCCACCTTCGTTCGTCAAAGCTCATTCATCCTTCGGTTCTAACGTGTGCGTCAGCCACGCTAAGAAATCCATTAAACTTAAAAGGTTTTAGAGCAGGGTAGCGGCAGGGTATTTTTATATCACGCAGATTTGTGGCGTTTAAAACAATTATGAAATCTTAGCACGTTTTTCGGTAAATTATTTTAAGAGCCATGCCGCCATTTAGCGGCACGCACCAACGGGCTCGCTGATTTATGGTGTCGTGTTTGAAACTCTGTTAAAGGAACGAAGTAAGGAACTTAATTTCAGAAATAATTGACCCGAGCCCAAAAGTATTTGAGTTGCTAAATTTTACCCATTTTACTCACGGAAAGAAAATTAATGGTGTCGTGGTGGCTCGAGTCCACGCATTGCAATTAAAAAAACCCAACTAATGATCAACTCTAGGCATAATTATAACACAAAATAATCAAAAAAATTAGTCGACTTGGTAGCATCATTCTGTTTCCGTATTTAGAGGCTAATATGTCCAGAAAAAAATATTCCAAAAGTCCCCTCATTAAAATTCATTCTACAGCACCAGTCACCGTCATAGGACGTCTATCAATGCAGCTACGATTTGAGGGATCTGCGACATTACTCCCAACTTGGAGCGTTAAATGCCAAATTTTCGAACTGCCACGAATTTTAGTTTGAGCCGAGCAGTCCCAGTGGCATTAAATCGTGCCAGACATGCCGACCATCGGCGCTTAGGAACGAGCGCGGCAACTCTTGCGCAATGTTCAATTTGGAGTTCATAAGTTGCGTCTTGTTGGCTTTGGAAAACAGTTCAGCACTCGATACGGAGACATCGGCTCAAATTATGCCTGGAAAATTGTCCAATATTGTGGTATACCGTAAATTGAATAAATTGTAGATTAATCAGCAAATCTTTCAGTTTTGGTTGTGATGCATGCAATTCACTTTTGTTTCGCATTCTCGATTAACTTTTATAGGAAGGCTTGAGAATTTAGGCAGAATTTAGGAAAAAATGTTGTGAAAAACTGAAGACAAATTTTTCATTCATGATATCATTTGGCATATATATACTGAGCAGGCATCAAGCATATTCACGTAGTGTTATATGGCAAGCATTTGCATAGCGTGCATTCAATAGACCTTTTTCAATGAGATATTTTTTTATGGTACAGTATAGGCTATATATATTATGCATTTTGCCTTGTTCATTTCTTCAGGCAATAGTAGACGTGTTCATGTCATCATGTATGTGCAGGCAATAGACGTGTTCATGTCATCATGTGCAGGCAATAGACGTGTTCATGTCATCATGTATTTGCAGGCAATAGACGTGTTCATGTCATCATGTATGGTGTTCGTGTTCCTGTCACTGATGGAGTATGCACTCGTCAACGTGGTACTGGGGGATGTCCCTGAGGAGAGCCGCGCTCTCGACGCCAGAATCAAAGCTAAGCAGGTATGTACGATCGATGGAGCTTACCAACGCAACCACTTTGCTGCTGGCCTAAAAAAATTACGGGAGAACTTACATTCAGATAAAAAATCTCAGAATATTTATGAAAAATCAAACCAACTTGGCCTAAGAAAATGATGGATTGGGAGAACTTACATTCAGATAAAATATCTCAGAATACTTATGAAAAAACCAACTATGTATTGATACGAATTGAAGTTGGAAATCACATTATTGAGGTTAGATTGGTGGCCTCAAAAAGTGATGGATTGGGAGAACTTACATTCAGATCAAAAATCTCAGAATATTTATGAAAAATCTAACCAACTATTGATGCAAATCGAAGTTGGAAATCACATTAGATATATAGGTTAGATTCTCGTAAGATTTTGGTGGAAGATAACTTAAGAATGGCGAGTTGTCGCTTAGATTTCGACAGAATTATCAGGTTGCGCGGTAATTTTTGGTGAAGCAAACATTCATATTATATATGATGCACGAAGCGTCGAAAATCACAGAAACCCACAGTCCGTACTTGACACAGAAAACAGACGTGTTTTTAACATTCTCCAAAGCTGTTGTGCTTCAGCAAACAAATATTTAGTCTTCAGAATATTAAAAAAAGTCTTTGCAATAAAGTTGTGTTTCAGCTGACATATTTTGACCCATCCACAATTCTGGAAGCTGTTGCGATTGCCAGCAGTGCTATAAATGTTACATAAATGGGGGCAAAGGAAGACGGAGAGGTGCTCGAGACCGTTAGGCGTCCGCTACAGACGCTACGGGATGCGGGAACCTCGGTGCGTTTAGACCAAACGTCTTCCTGCGAACAACGGGTCTGCTGAGGAGTGATCCTCTCACGCCGTTATGGCGCTCCCGTGTAATCCAGCCCGATACATGAATGCCAGAATAATATTTTACAGACGGAGAATTAATAAAGGAGGCTGAGTCTGTGGTAATATTAGAATCTGCATTTCTTTCTTCTGGATGAAAATAAATAATAATATCTCAGTAGGTCGGAATGTTTTTCCTTGGAATTCGTAAAGTGAAAATTCTTGTGCAGCAAATGCAAAAGTTTTCTGAACTTCTCACGTGGATGGTGAGCTGATTAAAAAAAAAGTTCATTTCTTAAACTTTTCACGCACTTCTATTGCATGGTATTGTTCCTCTGTATAATCTCATTACATTTCGTTACTGTTTACGCTCATTTTCGAATTTCCATGTGTTTGGATTTATGAAAATAAGTTGCCATAGTTGTAAAGAGTATTTTAAAGTAAATTTTTCCTCTGCCTTTGTAATTGATCAATTTGCAAAAGTTGAATGTTTTTTTGAAATATTTGAAGCACAAGAATGACTGCGCGATCGGCAAACGGTGCATGCCGACACACACGCACTGTGGTGAACACATCGGACCATGCTGCTGCGCCCAGCACTACGGCTGCATCGGCACATCCGTGACATCAGCCGCTGTTTCCATAGCCTTGCCACCGCCGCCACCTCCACCAGCCGCCGCCACCACATCGCCGCATCTCAGAAAGAACAACAGAGAAGAGAATCAAAACAAGCGAACTATGCCGTGCCCGTTGACTTCTTCGCCGTCACCCAAAAAACACCACAATAACTGGTCACAGGTAATGATTCATGGACAATAATTAATCGAGGTTGAAGTATTGATAGTTGCAGGCAAATGTGTTTCAATCAACATGTTTATCATTTACCATATTGATCGTAAAGGTACAATATTCGACGAACAAATTTTCAGACTATTTTAACTTACCGGCAACTTGAATTTCTTTATCACCTTGAAATTTGATCATCGTCACTGCGTAACGTCAACATCGTTATCAACAGCAATAGTTGCGAGGCCTCCTCTCATCCCAGAATGTTTGTTTTGTCGATCAGGTGATGGAGCAGAGACGTCATCGCGCTATCCTGATCGACCGCTTCTCTCGAGTGGTCTTCCCGCTCTCCTTCACGATTCTGAACATCGTTTACTGGTGCGTCTTCGTTGTCGAGTGGCCCGCCTTTGGCTCCAATGACGTCGAGTCTTAGGGTTGAAGTCTTATTCCAAGCAACAAGACTCCCGGTTAATGTTGTTTGGAGTTATTTCGATGCTTCTCAATCTTTACAACTTCTTTTATTAGAAATTATGCTCAATAGCGCGAGAAGATGTTCCCCTCATCCAATCGAGCGTGAAAACCATTCAAACTGAAAGTTCGGTGCTACAATTTTCTAAATACATAAAGTTATGAGAGGCCAAGATCTCGAAAGTTACGTGTCATTGTTTTACGTGAACCATAGCGCGAAAGAGCGAATAACAGTTTTTGGATTTATTTAAAAGTTTGCAGTTATTGTTGAACTTCAAGGGATGTAGCGTTACTTGAAATTGGTTTGAAGCTACGTGAACTACGTAGCTTCAAAGCTACGGTGAAAGCTACGGTGAAATTTTGTGAACTAGTTTTTAGTTGAAACCCAAACCAACGGATCCACAGATTGATACCGATGAATTATCACGATCTTGCATAATGAATAAGGAATTGTTCTATTTTAAAATCAATTCTTCTCTTTCTCTTAATTCTCAAACATTTATACGCACCTTACGAATATAAAATTTTATTGTAAGACTCTTTATATCTTGCACAAATTATTGATAAATTTAGGGAAACTTTTTCTTCAATTTCACCTGAAATTTATTCGATTTTTTCGAAAAGTAAATTAATATAACGTGCAGATCACGAATATACACAAAAATTACCTTCATGATTCCATTGAAAAATAGTTGACCGTTGAAGCTCAATACAAATTAATAACTCTCTAAATTTCATTAACAATCTTCTCGCTGAATTTTTAGCCAATAAAAAATCGAGAAATTATGGAATTTTTATCAATATTTTTTCTTATGTCCATCACGAAACTAGTTGAATGAGTTTAAACATTTATAAAATATTCACGTCGATGATAAAACCTTATTTCAATAAAATCAATACCACATATCTGAATTAATATAAATGCGAGAATATTTATGCATCTGAAATATGCATTAATTTAAATTGTATATATTTGTTGAGAATTTTTTCCGTAAATTAAGATTTGTATGCATTTCAAATGCATCATCAAATATAACTAAGATAATAACCTGAAAACCTTAATTTGTGGCCTCAAATGTAATTTTTGAACTAAACTCATGTGTTTAAAATATTTTTATTTTGAGACTTCTCGCGTTGTATTGAACATTTCAGGAAAGTATCAGAAACGCAATACCAATTGAATTCTGACTTCCGATTGCTAGATATTTTAATCCCTTCCCGAATATTTCGATGTTCCATCGACTAAAGCTTCTTTGTCGCTGCTCGGATAACGAAACTGAATAAAATATCCGGTCGTTGGCTGGATCGCCCTCACGATCCAGCCATGGTTGAACTAGTATAAGGTTGACCTATCAGAAGCCCATTTTTTGCGGATATAGTTCGTTGTTGGCCTTTGACGTCACTGATCTTAGTGACGTCACGGGCATTAACCAATCACCGAAGTGCGATCAAACCTGTCGACCAATCCTTCGTGGGAATGACGGGTTTGTTTACGTTTCTCGATCTACGTGACGTAACAAGAAAACTGAACTGAAAGACGGAACTTCTCGTGGGTCAACCTTATATAGTTCAACCATGGATCCAGCAATCAAAGCCATGCAAGACATCGTCTTAAGCCGTCGTCTCGAACCAAGAACTAGAGCGCTCAAATTGACCATGCATTGAATTTATTCAAATCTTTAGTACGCTGAGACGTTGTTGGAAGAGTCAGTGACTCCCATTTTCCGGTGGCTATTCAAAAGTGTTTATACATTTCCCGGATATTTCATCGAACATGTTTTACTTCATTTTCATTTTTTCTACTTATACTTTTAGTTTACTAAAGCGAACTATATTATTATTACGCATTAATGTTTCCACAATGAGCTAATGTGGATCTATAAGTTATTCCTAAATGTTGGATTATTCTACAGTTAATAAAATATTACTAGACATTTAGTAAATTTTCTCTTGCGATGCTCAACCTTATTGGATCTGAAAACCTTGTACTGCCTTTATTTACGACAAAGTTTTTTGTGGAATACAAATACAACGAAATTTGGTTATATGCTTCCAAATGCAACTTTTATCTCATTGAAAATGATTTCTTGTCGAAGAAGCAAATATTGGGCAATTTATATGTTTTCTCATTATCTTTCAGTTTTCTCGATAGCTGAGGTTCAATACAACAAAAAAATATTGTTTTGAAATTATTTCAAATTTTGAAATGTTAATTGCAAAGTTCAAATTATGTAGGACAACAAACACTGTAACATGTTTGATTAATGTTCGTAATCTACCGTTTTACAAAGGTAATATTTTTTTATTTTACCTTCCGATTACTTTTTTGCTTATTGCTGTAATCACAAGATCAGCTTTGCGATTTTTTTCATGTATCTAAATGATCTTCGTGAATTAAATTGGACATGAAGAGCAGCACAGATTTCGTCGAAACTTCGAGGGCTTCAAAGACGAGACGACAAGAGCAAACACCGCAGTGCGCCTTCAACGCTCAACTCGAGTGTCCAGGCAAACGCGGCCAAACTAAGCCGGACGACCGGCAGTGCGGACCGCTGGTAGAAACGTCACGTGAAATCTAGGAAATATCAGGTCAACGACGTCTCAGCTTTCGCTCTCTGGCCGTCGAAATTGTGGAATGGAAAGACTAGGCCTGTTCTGCAATTTTGATAATGACGTTAACAAACGCTCAGGAGTAGGAAATAAAATTTATAACGATTTAGATGGTGAACGTAATAGTGCGGCTGCTCCGGTCCATTTATAGGCCCACTAATGGAGTCAAATATTTTATTTAAAATAGAATATATGGTCAATCAGGACTCTATTAGACAATCTCAAGCTAGCCATGCCGAGTTTGGCGTGTCACCGTTAGTTCCATTATTCAAGTGAATGCAAGTGCTGTCAGTGCAAATATTGTACAAAGGAAGTCAAAACATCATAACTCTTAATTAAATGTACGTTTCGTTTACCAACATTGTTTAATAATTGAGTCTCAATTTCACTGGATTTTCGAGAATTTAGCGGGGAATAAACAGATTAAATAAACAAATAAATAGACAATAGATTGTTTTAAAGTATGCATGGCATCACCAGTCGCTCAACCGTTACAATAAATAATATTGTCGAGAAAAAATGGTGACCACTGCCAGTTAAAAACAAATGCAATTGACTGGGACCTTTCGCATGCCATAATTGTGAAGTTGGCCGCGAGAATTGCCTTCGGAGAATGCCCTGAAACTGAAATTAAATTACAGTTTTCGACATTCTCCATATTGAGAGATGCAAAAGAAGAAACGATAAACAGATGTGATGTGATTGGATTCAGTGGAAGCCTTCATCGGTTATGCGAGCAGTCTACTCGAAGTGTCTGAAGCTTCACTCTAACCACGCAGCTCCATGCATTGCTGATGCTCGGGCAGATCATGCATTCGAATCGAGTCCGCTACATGTGCATGAGTGACGCTACCTGTGAGAGATCATCTCGGGCATTTTGTGAAATTCTCGTATCAGTATCAATGTTCACATCATAGTATCAAAAAAATGGCAATGTTCCTAGTATCATCCTAGTATCATCCTAGTATCAATGTTCACATCATAATAATTCGTTACTGTTCCTCACTCTAATGCAAAATTCGATGCAAAATTTCTTCCGAGCCGAGTTTTCTACAGAAGTAATCCCGAGCTTTCGAATTCAAATATGCCTGGTTGGAAGAATCCAAACAATGCGTTAGNACAAAAAAAAAACACTCTGAATTCATTGTCTGAGACAATACAAAAAATTTTCACAGCAGTGGCAAAACTTCTCTCATCTTCCGCCTACTCAAGTGGCCGGCAAATCCATTAACAAGTCATTTGTTCAGGAGGAAAATGAGCGGACTAATACTAGAGAGGATCAATTAATAGGCTTTAATTAGTAAAAGAACATAAATATAACGGAAATGTAGCAACGTAATGAGTTCGGAGAGGTTATGGCATCATGAGCGTAGTTCATAAAAAGCATCGAAACTTCATAATGATCAGTGATGACCCATCCATTAAGAGCTAACAATAACGTCCATGAAGTACGTAATAGCTCATAAAAATTCTAAGTCATGCAAAAGTAATTTGAAAGATTAAGTTATACATGCTTGAACTTGATAATTTTGTCGCACACAATAAAATTTGATAGCAAATTTGTGCAAATCGATATAATTGTCCGCGATAGTCCATTTCAGGACGTGAAATATTATAGGTTGCGCAAATTAATTATATGTTATGTATTATTATTGCCGGCGTGAATAAATTCAGCGGCTCATAATATCATAGATAACAAAAAGTCATGCAGAATTTTTGGTCGTGCAAAAGTATTCTGTGGAGTTGAATATTATTTACTGGTGGTACAAAAACATTAACTAATAAGGAACATGCTCCGACATGCTTCCACATGTAATATTTTTGTTGTCATAAAATCAGTCTGGGTAATGAAATAGTATTGGCCACACAAAGATATTCCTCAACATGGAATACTGTGGGCGACATTCTGTGAAATGTGAAATGGAATATGAAGCATTGAAGATATATCGGCATTCTGTGAAATGTAATATGATGGGTCGCACAAAATAATCCAGCGATATTGAATGGGTCACTCAAAACAATTTGCTAATAGAAACACTTACGGTCGCTCTGGGGCCATACTTTCAAAGCTCGTTAAGTGAACGTAAGTACTTACGCTCCATTTTCTTGTCTATGATTGGTGGATTTTGCTTGCGTGGCTGTCAATGATTGGCTGATGGACTTACGATCTCTTAACTTTTTTTGAAAGTATTGGCCCTGGGCCCTTTTGCAGCATCTGTGAAATGGAATATGAAACACTTACGGAATATGATACACTTACGGAATATGATACACTTACGGAATATGAAACACTTACGGTCGCTCTGATCCTTTTGCAGCAAACAGCGGCCTCGTTGGTTATAATAAGGGGACGTCAAGTGAGTTATTCCGCTGACGAGTTTGCTCGTGAGCCGACAACGACTCGCTTAGCAGATCAATTTGTATGGAGATGATCAGAGGCACCGCAGGGAGGCCGGGTGCTTATATAGCACAATCCTTGTGGACTTGCGAGGACTTTCAATTCATGCAAGTGATCTTTTGAGAGTTTCTCCTTAAGACTTTGAGAAGAAAGGAGCTTTCAAGTACCTTAGTTGTCTAGTACTTAATTATTTTAATGCCCCTCTTAACTGATGACGATGTTATTCAGTTTATGCATATTTATGAAACGCCATTAAAATGACACATATTTATTACTAGATCAACATACGTGTTCTGCAAGGCCAAGCCACCCAAGAGCCAGACTTTCAGCACTCGCTCTGCTGGACGTAACCAAAGATCCAATATCGCGCAGTCAACGATTGCGAGCTCACGCATTAATTATAGGGATGATTCAATTAACTTTTTTTCTCGGTTTGATGCCTGCCTATGGGATGACGTTCAAGCAAACCTAACGCAAGATGCTGAAGCAAGTGAA